GGACCCCATGCTGCTCTTCGTGCTGGGGGGGCTGGGGGCCAGCGTTGTGTCCCTGGCCGGCTGCCTGGGCGCCCTCCGTGCCAGCCCCTGCCTGCTCCGCTTCTTCCTGGGGGCCCTGCTGGCTTTTGCGGGGCTGGAGGTGCTGGGGGGGCTCCTGGTGCTGCTGGCGCGGTGGCGGCTGCGGGACGGGCTGCAGGACCTGCTGCTGCTCTGCCTCCTGCGCTACCAGGAGGACCCCGACCTGCAGTTCCTGGTGGACGAGGTGCAGAGGAGCTTCCAGTGCTGCGGCCTCAGGTCCTACCACGACTGGGAGAGCAACCCGTGAGTGGGGGCTGTGGGGGTGAGTTGGGGGGAGACCCCATCCCTGCCCTCCAAACGTGTGTGGACCCACATCTCCCCATGTTCCCCCCACAGGTACTTCAACTGCAGCGCCCCGGGGGTGCAGGCGTGCGGCGTGCCGGCCTCGTGCTGCCAGGACCCTCTGGAGAGTGGCTCCGTGCCCAATGCCCAGTGTGGCTTCGGGGTGCTGGCGCTGGGGGCGGCGGCGGCGGGCGCCGTGGTGCACGTGGGGGGCTGCGGGGCAGCGCTGGGCGCGTGGCTGAGGGGCCAGGCCGGGGCCATCGCCGCCGGTGCCGCCGCCCTGGTGCTGGTGGAGGCCGTGGGTGCTCTCATGGCACTGAGGGTGCTCGGAGATGTGGTGGCTTTCCGGGCATGGGGGTGATGGGTGGGGGATGCTGGGGGTTTGGGGACGTGCAGAGGGCTGGTCCAGCCCAAAATGGACCGTGTCAGAATCCTGAACCCATCCGTGTCCTTGTTCATCCCGCTGGTGGAGGCTGTGGGAGGCTCCATGGCACTGAAGGGCACTCAGGGACATTGTGGCTTTCTGGGTGTGGGAGTGAGGGCATCGAGGGGTTTGGGATATGTGGGGGGCTGGTCCAGCCTCAAATAAACCTTGTCAGATGCCTGAACACATCCGTGTCCTGTCCATCTCACCATCACAACCAGCGCAGCCACTGAAGGTGCTTGGGGACATTGTGCCTGGGGGGGGGACACTGGGGATTTAGGGATATGTGGGGGGGCTGGCCCAGCCCAAAACAAACCCTGCCATTCACCTGAACCCCACCTCTGTCCTGTTTATCTCCCCATGCCGTGGGGAGACACTTTCCCCCCGCCCCCCCAGATGGCGACATGACTCCTGCGCTCGTTTGGGGGTTCAGGATTTAATTTTTCCAAGCAGAGCCCCACTGTACAGATGGAGAAGCCTCTACCTACACAGCACTATGGGGCAGGTGACCCAGCCAGGCCTGCCCCAGTCCTAGATGATGCCGTACTGAGCCAGCTCGTGCAGCTCCAGGTGGCTGAAGGCCTCCCAGGGACAGATGACAGTGATGTCTGGGGGGAGGAGAGGACAGAGGTTGTGGTGGGGTAACACACCCCCCCCAGCCCCTGATCCCCCGCTGCCAAAGAGGGGAAGGGACCCCCATACCTGTTCCCAGCCCTTCCATGCCTGGGATGTCGTCACCAAACCTGCAGGGAGAGAGGGAGTGTCTGGCCTGACCGCCAGGCAGCCCCCCCACCACCCCAGGGCCTGTCTCCACTCACCCCTGCACCCCCTTTTTTGGGGGTTTGCTTTTGAACTGCCTCGTCTGCCTCTGCTTGAACTTGGGGGGTCCTTTGCGGGGGGTGGCTGGACCCCCGGTCACCCTCGTGGCCGATTTCACCTCCAGCTTGGGGGGCTCCAGGCTCATGGCTCTGGGGGGGCTGGCAGCCAGCCCCGGCTCACGGCGTTCCCTGCGGATCCGGCGCTGGCACAGGACAGCTGCTTGCACCTGCTGGAGGGGGAATGGGGGGCACCAGCTTCTCCTCCCACCCTGTGCCCCCATTCCCACCCTGTGCCCCCATTCCCACCATTCTCCCTGATTGGCTCTGAGGAGCCCCCTCCCCTCAACACTGCCTCAGCCCAGCTCATCCCGCTAATCCCCTTTCTCCAAAGGCAGAGAAGGGTGTCCTGGGGGGGCACTAGACCTGCTGCCACCCACTGGGGTTGTTCCTTCATCCCATGCACCACATCCCAGCATGGATTTGACACCTGAGACCGCCCATGGCACTGCCAGGAGTCCCTCCCCACAGCTCACCCCGGGGTCTGTGCCGTGGTGGGCAGCAGTGTGGTTTAGGGGTGGTGGGCACCCCAGGCTGGGCAGGGGAGCAGAGGCTGGCCCACGGGCTCCATCCCCCCTCCAGGCACCAGGAGCAGGAATTCTGCAGCACAAGACCTGGCTCTGGCACAAGGGGTTCAGCCCCACTACAGAGCTCAGGAGCTGGGCACAGGCCTGGGAAGAAGGATCTGACCCAAGGAGATGCCTGGCTGTTCCTGAATGATATTCCTGAATGCAGGAATAGCAGCAAAGCAACCCCATGTCCCATCCCATCCCAGGCACCCCTGACTCACACAGTCCCACGGTTCCTGAGGCCAGTGCTGCTCCCTCTGTCCCACAGCCCGGAGATGCTCTGGGGGGCTTTTCGGGAGGGAGATTTATCCTGCCCGGGGGTAATAGGATTATTTAGCTCCCTTCTCTCCCAAGGGGTAATCCGCTGTCCTTCCCCCGCCCTGGGTGGGGAGGGGGTGTTGGGATTAGTGCCGGTGGGACAGGCTGTGCCCAGCCGGGCAGCAGATCCCACACAGGGCAATCCCACCTCCTCCCCTGGGGGATCCCCCCATTCCCCAAGAGATTCCCTCAGCACCCCTTGCTCCCAGCAGGAGGGATGGGACCCCCATCCCAGTCTCCCTCCCGGCCCAGGCGGGGGTCCTGGCACAGGGGGTGCCCTCCCAGCACCATCCCTGCTGGTGCCACCACAGGACACAATCTGGCCAGAGAGGGTCTGGCAGCCCCTGCCCACGGCCGGTGTCACTCCAAAGCTTCCCTAATCCAGCACTAAAGCAATTAAAAACGGAATAATCTCAGCACACTTTAATTGCACCTCAGCCCCCGCCACTAACTGCAATTAGTTGGGCTCCAGCAAATAGGATTAGAGGGGATCCAGGAGTGTTTTCCATGGAGAACAAGCTACTTCCGTGGCAGAGAGCAGGGCCCGGCTGTTAATTTGGGTTCATTAGCGGGTGACACTCAAGGGTTTGGTGGGTCCTTGGGAAGCTCATCCTGGGATGATGGGGGGGTCCGTGGGGGTCCTCGTAGCTGTGAGTCCCTCAGGATGGAGGGGAGGGGCGCTGTGCCAAGTTTAGGGGTTTTAAGACAGAGGCAGAAGGAATCAAGGAAGAAAAGGCACCGTGGAGAGCAGGATGTGACACCAGGGACAGGGACAGTGTCCTTGACATGAGGCTGCTGCTTCCCACGTGCTCGGGGCCACACGCTGCCTCTCACAGCCCTTCCCATGGAGAAGCCCCTAAGAGGCTTATGGGGAGGGGTCCAGCACAGCCCTCCCCCACCAGGGCACGGCCAAGGTGCTTAAAATCCCCTCAAGGTGCTTAAATTCCATCCAGGAGCGTGAGGAGGAGAAGGAGGGCTGGGTGTGAGGGGCCACCCAGCCTGCCCTTGGCAGGGATTTGCCATCCCGGGGCGGGGGGAACAGCATCCAGCTCCCGGGAAATCCGGAGCTCAGGACAGGCCTGAGCTGCTGCCTGTCCCCAAGGGCAGGATCCTCTGTGACGAGAGGTGACATGGCCTGGAGTGACACCCCTGGGATCCCGTGCTCAGCACACACCAACAAACACTATAAATGATCCCAGACCAGACCCCTCCACCCAGCCTGGAACAGCAGCCCTGGGGCTGTCCCCTGCCGCTTTGGGGAACCGGGGAGGGCTCAGTCCTTCTTGGAGCGCAGCCTGATCTCCATCCTGAGGATCATTTTGATGTTTTCGTCCTCCACGTGCTGCTCCACAGCCTCCAGGGCCCGGGCTCCCCCATCCCGGTGCCGCTCCAGCAGCTCCTCCACGTACCCCACCCACACACAGTTGGGGCAGCCGGTCCCGCAGCAGTGTGTGGGCGGGGGGGGGACTGGGGGGTCTGCAGGAGGGACCCCACCATTGCCACCGGGGGTGTCTGTGCTGCTGTCCCTCCCTGGGGTGTCCGAGGAGCTGCTGCCCTTTCCTGGCGTGTCTGAGAGCTCCCGGAGGCTGGAGATGTTGGTGGGGTGGGGGTGCGGGGTCCCTTCTCTGGGCAACCCCCCGGTGCTGTTTGGGGGCTGCAAGAACAAGACCCCCCTCATTGCTGATGCCAGTCTGGGGGACACGGGGTGTGGGGGGGCAGCCCTGGCTGCTGCACCCCTAACTCAGCCCCGGGACCCCCCTCCCACCACCAGCACCCCCCGCCCCCCCCCCCCCCCCCCCACCCCCCGCCCCCCCCCCCCCCCCCCGGG